TCGTTTCCCCATACGTAGGGTGCTCCGCCGAAGGCCCCAGTGGCAGGGTCCGCATACAGTTCCACTTCAATTTGGCGCACCCCTCGCACGTTTCGTGGCTCGAAGGGGTGCTCCACCGAAGGCCCCCGTGGCAGGGTCCGCATGCAGTTCCACCCCCACAGGGTGCTCCAACTAAGGCCCCAGGGGCAAAGTCCGCATGCAGTTCCACCTCAATTTCGGCGCACCCCTCACACACTTCGTGGCCCTATATGGTGGCCATAGTGGCAGGGTCCGTATGCCGTTCCCCCCCCCATTTCGGCGCAGCTTTCGCACGTTCCGCTGCCCCATAGGGAGCTCTACCCAAGGCCCCAGTGGCAGGGTCCGCATGCAGTTCCACCTCATTTCGGCACACCCCTCACACGTTTCGTGGCCCCATAAGGTGCTCCACCGCAGGCCCCCGTGGCAGGGCCCGCATGCAGTTCCACCTCAATTTCGGCGCACCCCTCACAGGCTTCGTGGCCCCATGGAGTGTTCCACCCATGGCCCCGCAGGTTCCGCATGCAGTTCCACCTTTCATTTCGGCGCACCCCTCGCACGTTTCGTTGCCCCGAAAGGCCCTAGTGGCAGCGCCCGCATGTGCTTCCACCTTGCATTTCGGCGCACCCCTCACACGTTTCGTGGCCTCACATAGAGGCTGCACCGACGGCTCCGATGGCAGCGTCCGCATGGCGTACCCGTGCCAATTCTGGCTTACCCCTCACACGCGTCGTGGCCCCGCAGAGAGGTTCACCGAGGACGATACCCGCAACTGCGTTACACACAGCTGCACATGCTTGGGTCCTTCGCCGGGATCATTTTCCGAGGGGCCTTCGCTGGACCCTGCAGGCCGTCAACGAAAACAGCTCGGGATGAAACACCGGCCCCGGAGGAGGGGTCGGGACTTCTGGGGACCGCGTATGGTCGGACCGAGGAATAGGATCGAGGTCCTTTCGGGGAGAGTTATTCGTGCTTGTCGGATGTTCTTGTGCACCCGGGGGGGGGGCTCGAGAAGGGGATCGGTTATAACATGTGTTTACCCCCCAATTGTTTTTTATACCAAATGTCGAATCCACGCAACATGCGCAGAATCCTTGCAGATCTTCGGGGGATGAATGGATTATGCTGTGCTGATGTTTCGTGGGGTCGACAAGGCAAATTAATTTGGGGGTCATCAATTCTGTAGCCCATCCCATCCCATACACACATCAGAAGCCTTAAGAAAACACAACATCAACGTTCATGCACCCCAGATTTCGTTCAAGAAAGTCAAGACTCTGGACTGGACCCTGGGCGTTGTCTTGGAGCTTCTTTGCTTCGTGGAATGTTTGTATATCTGGGCTTGGAGTACTGTCTCAGCAGGCGCCAAGCCGCGCTGGTGGCCCGCGCAAGCCACCACGGGAGGTCGCTGCGTCTTCTCGCGTAATACCAGTTGCTTTCCCAGACCCCCGACGTCGTGATTTCTCATGACGTGCCCGCCAAGAGCCTGAACCCCTTCCCCGGGACCGGTTTATCATCCTGAGTAGTTTTGTTGACAGTCCCAGGGCCCAGCGAGGGCCTTTGGAGGCCGAAAGTAGCTTAGCGAAAAGCCTCCCGTCGTGATTTTTGTTGCACAACGAGGAGGTCTGGGTTTCGTCGCTCAGGTGCAGCTGTTCATGCACCTGCGGGTCCTCGCGGTCGACGGCCGCCCCGAGGCGCGCGCGCGCGCGGCGCGGCGAAGCCTCTCGCCTCGCCCCCCCCCCCCCGTTGCGGCAGCAGCGCTGCTCGAGCAGCGGCGGAGGCGGAGCTCGGCAGCGGCACCACCTCGGCGGCAGCGGCCTCACGACCCATACCCCCTCGAGCAGCGACAGAAGTCATGACGGCAGGCTTGTCCTAGCGCTCGGCCTCTGGAGGCCCTCACCGGCCCTCGCGAGACCGTCCTGGAATGGAAAGCCGGTCCAGGGCAATGGGTCGAGACCTCTGAGGGTCGACGTTATGAGCAAATCATGACGTCGGGGGTCTAGGGTTAAGTCGGGCATGCCCCTCTACAGGGGAAATATACAAAAATAGTGAAAATCATGGGGGCGATTGTTTGAGTATTCTTGATCACTCTTGTTTTGTTTGATTTTCATGTTTCATCCAAAATCCCCCTGCAGGAGGACACGCCCGACAAAAGTCCAGGGAGGAGGGTGGCACGCAGCGTGGCGGGCAGCTCTGCGCCCTGCAGGCTCTGCAGGCCCTGCGCCTCTGCGCGCCCAGGCCCTCTGCCGCGGGCGCGCGCGGCACGCCGAAGGTGCGGCCGCCGCAGGCCCTGCGCCCCCAACCCGCCCCTCACAGGAGGGGGAGGAGGAGGAGGAGGGGAAGGAGGAGGAGGGGGAGGAGGAGCAGGAAGGGGAAGAGGAGGAAGAGGAGGAGGAGGAGAGTGAGGAGGCGGAGGAGGCGGAGGAGCAGGAGGAGGGGGAGGAGGAGGAGCAGGAGGAGGGGGAGGAGGAGCAGGAGGAGGAGATGGAGAAACTGAAGACACCGTCTTAGGGACTCTCTTGGGGCCTCCTGGGAGCCGTCTGGGGGCCTCTCGGGAGCCTTTTGGGCGACTCCTGAGGCCTCTTGGGCCGTCTTGAGGGTGCTACTGGCCTGTCTGACGCCTTGGAAGGCGGTCTCGGGGGTCTCTCGGGGCCGTCGTGGGGCCCTCTTGGAGCGCTTCAGGGCCATCTTGGGGGGGCCCTCTCGAGACGGCCAGCCCCAGCAGGCGCGATCCGCCGCCGCCGCCGATCGGGCCCCGCTCTCGCCGCGGGCCTCGCGCCCCTCGACGCGGCAGCCCGCCACTGCAGAGCGGGCCGCGCGGCGGTCGCCTTCGCGCGCGCGCGCGGCCGCGGGGGGCCCCTCCTCGGAGACCTGGCTGCCCCGATGCGCTCGTGCTGAAGCGAAAGACTGGTCAAACCGTCTTTGCTGGTACGCTGCGTGTTACCCAGACCTCCTCGCGCTGCGAAGTAATCACGACGGGAGGCTTTTCGGCCTCCAGGGGCCCCCGCTGGGCCTCGGGACGGTCAAAAAACGATTCAGGATGAAGAGCCAGTCTCCGGGAAGGGATCCAGGCTCTTGGGGGTCACGTCATGAAAAAGTCACGACGTCGGGGGTTTTGGTAGCTCGGCACGTGTTGGTCCACGTTTGGGCGAACGTATCGCGCCGGACCTATGTGTTCATTATACGTGTTGAGCTTCGTGGAAACACGCTGCGTGTTGCGTGTTGTGCATCGGGGCAGCTTGGCTCGGAGATGCCCTGAGGCCCACCACAGCATAGCGGGGCTCATTCCGACTCCTCCGACTCGATTCGGTTCCGATTCCGATTCCGATTCGATTTGGCGTCGGATTCCATTACGTGCTCTCGGTTTCTCAGTGGAGGCCTTACCAACGCGCCGATGTCCACCCATTCGATTTCTCTCGACTCGGCTGCTGATTTCTGCCGATCCGATTCATTTCGATCTCCGATCCGACTCATCGATTCGTTTCTGGACCCTCTCCTGCCGCATCCCTGGCGAGCCGGAGGGGCCTCGCGGGGCGAGAGCGGCGGGGAACGCCACAAGGCAGTCGGGCCCTGAGGGAGCGAATACCCTGAGGTTTTTCGTCGCCGTTAGCCTTAAGTCGGGCACGTACCTCTACAGCAGGAGTATCCAAAAATGGTCAAAATATTGTATGGGGACGATTTCCCTAGTATGTGCGAAGATGTTTATAATCTGTACTGAGAATGTTTTATTATCCAACCAGCTCAGGAGTAGACCAGGCCGTTGAGGAGTAGATCAGGCCGTTTTTTTTTTTCGATGGGAAGATGACATGTACCATTTTGCGGAATTCGAAGGTTTGCCCTCTTGGCAAGAGTCCGCGCGCAATCAGGATCTGTGGCAGGATTTAGCACCGGATTTTATTACTTAGGCTTGGCGTTAGACATTGCGTGCCCTTGTTTCACCGAATTGTCACTGCACTGTTTTCTCCCACGCTGTGAACGACAGGTCCTCGTTCGAGGGCCAGCGTGCCTTGCAAGCCTGCCCGCCGTGACGGCGCCGCCTCCCGGGGCGATGGCAGCTGTGTGTGTGTGTGTACCAGCTCATGGGGAGGGCGGGGGCCAGCGAGAGCTGAGAGACTAAACCGATGCCCCTGAAATCAGGCAGTGATGTTCATGTATCTACTCTCCAGCAGCACAACGAGGGCACTGACGGGCCAGGTATATCTTGATATACGAGACCGGCGATCGAAAACTCGTTCATCACGGCGGGTCGTGGCGGGAAGGCTTGAGCGTCCCGTCAAGGAAGAGAGGAGGTATCATACCTACCCCCGACCCTGCCCCCAAGACACCCCAGTAGCACGGATCAGTTCAGTTTGACAAGCGATCATTCTCTGACAAACTCATTCTCCTACACGATCATTCCAATACCCGCAACCTTTGCCTGGCAACGCCTTAGTTGTCGAAGCTGGACTGGGTGCGGCGGGAAGCTGCGACAATCTGACTTCGAAATATTCACACCACGTGGCTAAACGTCACGCAAAATCTGAGACCAGCGTCGGGTGGCTCTTGAGGTTCGTTTCGCCCTCAAACACCAGTTGTGCCCCCGACGCTGGAAAGACCCCCATCGTCGCACGCGGCAGGACAGCCAAGGGGTAAGTAATATTGCCTGTGCGGTTCGGGAGCCGCGAGGTCGTGGCAGTCTGGGGCTGCAGAAAACTACGCTGGATTCCACATCAACCTCGTCATTGGTTTCGCACAGTTTCCATTGCCAGGTTGAATCGACTATTTCCTCTCATGCCCTCTACCACTTGTGCCCCCGACGTTGGATAGACCCTGAACTTGCAGTGGCAACCAGCGCAGCACCAGAAAAATGCGTCAGGGACACTGGTGCTCTCGCCAGCGCCACGCCTGGGCCCCACACCGTCAAGGGGGTGACGATCGCGCCCGCAGGCCGCCGTCTCTAGGGCGCCCTCGCATGGCTCCCCTAGCTACCCTGAATGGCGCCCCCATCACTCTGTCCACCAGCCCGTGTCCTCCCCGAACGTCTCATCTGAGAAGAGGCCTCCTGGGCTGTCTGGGTCGTCGTCGTCAGTGTGGTTGCCCTTCTTGGAACGGCGAGCCCTCGGGCCCTTGATCTTCATCAGCTCGGCGGCGACGCATTTGGCAAGGCCCTTCTCGACAGCGTCCTCGAGCGCCTCGGGGAGGCTGCCGCTGGGGAGGGGGCGCCGCCGCGGGGCTCGCAGGATCTCTGCCTTCAAGTCCCGCACGGCGCATGCCTGACTCCCGGGCCACCTCTGGCATTCTCGCGCGGAACTGCGTCAGGGCGAACGTCTTGGAGTAGCGCTGAACATTGGACAGAGGGCCTTCCACCTCCCGCGGCGCCTGACCTGCTCGAGCGACGCGCGGCCTCGGGCGATGTCCTCGCCAGGGCCCGAGTGGCGGATCCCGCGCGGAGGGGGCGTCCAAGGCATGCCCTGCGCGCAGCAGGCCTGGTGCCAGAGCTTCCGGAAGCGCACCTGGCCGATGCCGAAGAGCTCCTCGTCCTTGCTCGCCCTGAAGTCGCGCAGGCCCAGGACCAGGTTCTCGACCGCGCCCCGCCGCGCTACGGCGCCCTGGTCGGCGCCCGTCTTGCCCTCCCCGCGGCTCGAGACGCCGAAGGCCAGGGCCAAGCACTGGCCATCCCACGCGACGTCCGCGACCTTCAGCATCTCCAAGTCTTGCTGTCGGCCGTAGACGTCGTACTGCGTCAGCGTCCAGACGGCCCCCATGTAGTGCCCCTGCTCGATCATGTAGATGGCGATCGCGTAGATGTCCTCCTCTGGGAGTGGGCCCCATCTCGCTCGTGCCGCCCAGCTTCTGCCAGCTCTTGAGGCCCCTCAGGGCGAGGGGCAACTTGCTGCGAAGCTCCGGCCAGATCACCAGCAAGCCAAATAGGACCACCGAGGCAAGGGTCGCTCTCTTGCGCTCGCCGTAGCACTGGATGTCCATGTATTCCGCCAGCGCGCGGTCGACCTCCGACTCGGATGTGGGCTGCCAGCCCCGCTGAGTACAAAAGTTGAGGAACTGTCGTGCCGCGGGGGCCCACTGGGCGGCGGTGGTGTCGGCCACCGAGCGCGCGAGCAAGCGAGTGAAGCCGCCGTCCAGCAGGCCAACGCTCGGATCCGTCGCGCAGTTGTCCCACGCCAAAGGTTCCCTCTTGGTCATCGGGGTCGCGCCCGTGGGCTGCAGAGGCTCGCGGCCAGCCGACGCCCGCCCGACCAGGCCGAAGATGGTCAGCGTCAGCCACCAGCGTATCCCGCACACGCCTGACCGAGGGCGCGCAGCTCGTGGCCCAGCGGCGCCTCACCCGACGCGGGGGGAGCAGCTGGCGCCACGCGGTCGCTGCGCGCCCGCGCGGTCTCGGGCGCCGCCCCGAAAACAAAAACAAAAACCGCGACAAGCCGCCTGCCGCGTTCACCTCGGACGGTACGTAGCGGGCAGGGGCCGTATAGTTATGCCGAACGCCAGGGCGATGGCTGCCGCCTGGCGGCAGAGGTTCAGCAAGGCTGGGGCGATCGATCGGCCCTCCACCAGCGCGCCCAAAACCACCGCGCCGTCGGTCAAAATTCGGCAGGGGCCCCCGCGACCTCGAGGACTTGGCCAGGTGCCTCAGGAGGCCCACGATGGCGCGCGTCTCGTTGATATTGGCGTGCTCGGTCTCGCGCCACTTGCCGAAGTAGAGGTGCCCCAACCTCGCCAAGGGAAGCCAAGTGCGTGACTGCGGGGGCGCTCGAACCCGATCTCCTCGTCACACCTCCCCCCTCGATCTCCCAGGCCGAGATGGCCCCAACGTCGCCGACGCAGGCGACCGCGGCGAACCGTCGACGTCGGGCCCGAGCCTCCTCGTCCTGATGTGCGCGAACGCCTCGATGATGACCTCGCTGAGGGCATCGCAGAACTCGGGCTGGTAGGTCTGCGCAGCAGCGGCGCGAAAGGTCGGACCTCCTGGCTCCTCGCGCCCCTCGAGCGCAAACCAGTGGCGCCCCTCGCGGTTGCAAGTGAGGCAGACCCGAGCGGCGGCGCCCCCGTCGCTCCTGTCGAGCGCGCCGAAGATGCCAACCATGGTCGGCTTCATGGAGGGGGCGCCGTTGCGGCACTGGTCCAAGTAGTTCACCCGCCCTCCAATGTCCTTGACGAGGCCCGCCCCTCCCCTCCCCCCCGAGGTCCCAGATCGACGGGTAGGGCGGCCCCCCGGGGTCGGACGGATGCTCCGGCAGGCCGACCCCCCCGGCCATGCAGATTGCATGGGTCACCGTCGGCGCCGTTGCAAGCGACTTGGCGCCCAGCTCGAGGCGCCGCTGCTCCCGCGAGGTCAGCCTGACGTCGGTGCGCCCCCAAGGCTCTGCACGGGTGCGCAGCGGACGGGGCCCATAGCCCCGAGAGCGGGCGCGGCTCCATGTCGAGCACGGGGGTGACGCCAGCACCCCGTGGAAGTAACTTTTGTCGACGAGCATCGCGATCACGTTCAGAACGTCGGGGTCGGCGAGGTCGTGCTTCGGGTCGATGACTGCATCCAAGGACCAGACCTCGACGAGGACGCCAGCGCTCTCCGCCGAACTCTTGCGAAGAGGTGGAGAAAGCGGAACGCGCGCTCGCTCGGGCCACGCACGACTGGGGCCGCGGCCAGCGCCGGCTCGTCGGCGTCGTGTGCGTAGCCGCCGCAGCCATCCTGCCAGGCGTCCTCCTCGGTGTTGGTGTAGAGGTCTTCGGCGGCGATGGTCCAGCCTCGCAGCTCGCAGTACCTGGGCTCCGCGCGAATCTCCTCCACCGTAGCGTTGGTCACGGCGATGCCGTAGCCCACGTCGCTGGAGTCGGCCATGAAGACATGGCTGGCCCATGGCGACTCCAGGTAGGTGACCATGAGCGTGGCGCAGTAGGCAGCGGCGGCGAGTTCGGCCCGCGCCCCCGCGGACAGGCGGAAGGCAGCCGATGGGCTTGAGGGGCGCCGCATCTCGTGGTAGACCTGATTGAAGATGGCGAGGCTCGTCCGCTGGAACACCGCCGCCCAAGCCCAGAGTTCGACGAGGCGCTCCAACATGGTCGCTGTCCAGTATGGGTCTTTCCACCACGGCTAGAGTCACGGGCGCCAGGCGACGCGTCTTCGGCGGGCCCGAGGGGCGGCCTCTCAGGACAGCTCCCAGGGACTCGAGCCCCTCGCCCTCCTCCTCTTCGTGGACCGCGAGGCCCGCGGACTCCAGGGTCAATTTGACCTCCGCCGCCATTCTCGAGACCAGCTCCTTCTCGCGGCCTTTCGCGCTCGCGCTGGTCTCCATGCGCGCCTGCAGGGCGGAGCGCGCAAGGGGCGGGGCCCATGGCCACCCGGTGACGAGCACCTTCAGGGCCAAAAAGGACGAGTCGGCGGGCGCCTCGACGTCGACCGCTCGCTCGGCCATGCACTGCAGGAACTCGTCCACGCCCGCCTCGTCCAAGCAGGAGTAGGGCCGACGCTGCGATGGCGTCTCCAGCCTGTAGAACATGTCGGGCATGTCGCCGGCCGCAGAGTAGACGCGCCCTTCCGCCTCGATGTTGGAGAGGCCCAGGTGCGTGAACGAGGCGGGGCTGCCGAGCGGCACGCAGGGCGGCCGCTCCTAGCGTAGGTTGGCGCTCCTTTCGTCCCAGATCGCGCGACCGTGCCGCTGCAAAACCAGGTCGCCGTCCACCTCCGACTCCACGTACTTCTTGATGACTCCGAAGGGCGACATCGACTCCTTCTTCTCCTCGGTGAAGGTCAGCTCGCCGCCTCCCCAGAGTCGCTCCGCCAGGCGCAGGCGAGCCCCACGAGACTTCAGCGCGGGGTCCCGGTATACCACCAGGCTCTCTAGCTCTCGCATCATAATAGAAATGTGTCGCCTAAGCGCGCGGCCCCCCATGTCCGAGAAGTACTCGACAGCGAGGGAACATACGTCGACAAGCTTGACGGGGACGGTCCCAGGCGCAGGCAGCGCCAGCTCGTCCACGTCGGCTGAGCACATCGCACCCCGTGGCAACACGCGGCGACCCTTCGAATCCACACCCAGGGACTCGCTGACCCCCATCGCCCTTGCACGGCGAGGCCAGGCCCGCGAGTGCGCGCTAGACGGCAGCGCACAGGTCCACGTCGACGTCGGAGTTGTGGCCCTGCCAGGAGGCCCACGAATCCAGCAGCTCCACGGCCGTCCTCTTCTGGAGCGGGGTCGATCGCTCCCACGGAGCCGCAGGCCCAAAACCAGTCACCGATTTCACCGCCGACCGCGAGAGGGAGTGCAGGACGCGAATGAGCCCATTGGTCAGGGACCTCACCTTCTCGATGGCGCCATGAAGGGCGGGCCCCATGCGGCCGGCCACCGCGTCCCAGGGGGCAGCGGCATACCGGGCAGAAGATCGCGGTCGCGAGGTCGAGCCTCGCGCGGCCAAACTGCGCCAGACGTCGCCATGGCCAGGGTAGCGCAGTTGGAGAGAAAAAGGTGAGCCACCAGACGCCGCGAGGTCGGCGAGGCGCCAGCGGCTCGGGGAGGCCAAAGTACCAAGCCATTCCGCCCAGATCGCGGATCGCGGGTTTTGCTTGCGCATGCACGCAGCCGTTGTCGAAGCAGGCGGAGCGCCGAAGCGCCCGCGCCCAGCGCCCAGGGAGCTTGGCCTCGGCGAAAACGTCCACGTGGAATGCCGTTAGTCCTCCTCCTCCTTGGCGCCCTCGGAGCCCGCCTTGAGCAGGTACTTCTGGATCAGCGCCTCTGCTGTAGCCGCGCGGTGAGATTGAGATCCTTCTCGACGCTAGGCAACGACTCCTTTCCGTCCATCTCTGAGCGCCAATCCAGCTCGTTCGCCCGATCCCAGCGCACCTTCGACTTCCACTTGTTGGCCGACGCACCACGGGGCTGCTACCAGTCTGACATCGAGCGCACGTCCTTGAAATCCCGCTTCAGCGCGTAGACCCTCGAACGCAGGATCTCGCAGCCAGCCGTCGTGATGAAATCGGGAAATCGGGAGAGGCTTCCAGCGCGCGATGCAGGATCATGCAGTGCAAGAGCATCTCGTGGCCGATGTGATTATTGTAGAGCTCCTTCTGCTTCACCCAGTCCGTCGCGAACTTGCCCATGCTGCCATACTTGCCATAGGTCTGCACGAGGAGGTCGGGGGGGGCGCGGGCCGTCAGCCCTGGAGGCAGCTCGAACGTTGGGGCCGACTTCAGCTTCGCGAGGTCCCCCATCAGGCGAACGCGCGGGTCCTTCAGGGACTCGCGCAGCGGCCCAAGGTTCACCCCAACCTCCTCCAGCAAGCCCTCGTCGAGGGTGATGGGGGGGGGTGCCGCCGAACCCGCCGTCGCCGCCGCCGGCACCAGGTCCGCCGCTGCGCGGCAGGCTCCTGACGCTCGGTCCGCCCGGATGATCTTCTCGAACTGGTTCAGACGATCCATCGTGCGGTCGACGTGCAAGCCCATGTCGGCGGGGGCGGGGGCGCGCCCCCAGCTGTCCGCCTTCGAACCAGGACGCCAACTCGAAGATCCATCTGAGCGGCGCGGGCTGCACCCCACAACCTCGACATGGGCTCCCCTCTGCTTCCGCCTCCGCGCAGCGACGACCGCGGCGATCCCTTTGCGTCTCCTCCAGCAGATCCTGCATCATCTTCCTCATCTCCGAAACCTCCTGGCTTGCCTCCGAGCTCGAGTCCGACTCGTGCACTGAACGCCCAGCTTCCCCGTCGCTTTGCACATCGCCCCCTGGGGGGCTTGTGGCACCAAATCGCGCGGGGCCCCGACGGCAATACCAGCTCCAGCACACGGGGGCGAAGGCCAGCACGATGGATATGAGCAACAGCGGGAGCTCGAGGCGCCCGCCCTTGTTGAGGTCATAGAGGAAGGCCCTGAAGCCGTCCAGCTCCATGAGGAACGAGCGTGCGTCGTCCAGCTTCTCCACCGTCCACTTGGCCCAGCCCCAGGCCCTGAAGTTCAGCGCAGCCCTCCAGGCGAAGAAGATCAGGCCTCCACTGGTGCCCCACGACGACGTCGCCCACATAACGACCGCAGCACTGCAGGCCCACCCCAGCATAGTCCCCCACGGGCGCCAGCGTGCAGCGCCAAACTCCATACTTAATTGCTCTTCGGTGCCCGCCTCTAGAGCCGCCGTCTTCTCCTCGGCGGACAGGGCGGGGAAGTGGGCGTAGGTGGTGTTCGGCTGCCGCTTCGCTGTGATCCTCGAGCGATCCTCGACGTCGATCGTGCTCAAACTCCTGTCCGGACGAACGAAGATCCACCTGGTGTCGCGTTTCTTCTTTGGGCGGGTTCTCATCAGCATCAGGGCGACCTCGCCTCGGCCTCCGCCCACATTGCGGTGCGTCCGACCCCGTCGGTGCACCGAGCTCATAGACAGGCCGATGTACGCTGAGAAGCTGACGCGCGGAGAGATGCGCTCGCACCTTGAGAGCGGGTCGCTCTCGTTGAAAGGAACGATCGGCGACTCGAGGGCCCACTCCACGAGCCCAGTGTCGCCCAGGACGGACAAGGCGAGCCCTAAGGCAAGGGCCCGGCGCCACGTGGTGTGAAAGCCTTGCGCCGAGCAGCCGCTCGCGGGGTAGCAGCGCGCACAGCGTGGGCTGGCTGCCAGCCCCCCGCGCGCGGCCTGAACGCAAAAGGCTCGAGCGCCCCGTCGAGGAAGAGTGGAGGCACCATACCTACCCCCGACCCGGCCCCCAAGACACCCCACGATCATGGACCTTAAGTTTGACAAGCGATCAAGTGTTCGTCAAAAATCCGCATGTCGGAGGACATGCCCGACCTAACGTTCGCCTCCCGGGGCTCTCTACGAGCCCCAGGACTGCCAGAACATGGCTCGGACGAAACGCTGGTCCTCTGGGGGGGGGGCCCAGGGTCTAAGACCCGTTTCCCTCGGGAGCCGTCTGCTTCATGCCAGTCTGGACCGACCTCGCGGAGATGCATTCTGGCCGACGGCACCTCTGGGTGACGTGGCATCGTTCATTGGTCCGAAAGATACCCGTACCCGGGGCCAGCCAAGGTGAGATGGGCCGTCCGGGGGACTGGGCGTTTGCTAATGTGCCCGGTCAGCTTGCCCCGCGCGCGCCGATGCAGCATCCGCGTGTCAATGCGCAACGGCGCGCTCGATGGTTGGTTGTCTGATTGCAGCGACAAGCGTTGGTTTTTGTTAGGGACGTGTCGGGGCATCGTGGTGCGCGCGAGGTTCAAAGCCGCCCATATGTGGCGGCGCCTGTCCCAATTGATAACAATATGCGCTTCCTCGCCAGCATCCTGGCAACCAATGCGTCTGGGCATGCCCTGAGGAACGACGTTGCAATGCGGCGCCCCCAGGGGGCCGCAGCGGCCACGTTGGGGGCGGTTCTGGAGGGCATGTGATGTGCTCGAGAGCGTTTTGGGCCTGCCGCCACCTCGGCTAGGTGCGGGGACCTGCCTGAAACCACCGAAACATACCCGGACCTAGCTGGGGTGGAGCTGCGACACCCCGGCTAGGCACGGGTATGTTTTTTTGGTTTTCTGAGGGCACCCGTACCTAGCTGAGGTGATCCGCGGACGGCCGTCCAAGGGAGGCGGTCTCTGGCGACCTCGCCCAGCGCTCAGAGCCGCGATGTCCCTGCATCGATCAATTCGCGATTGGGCGATTGTCGCGCTGCGACGTTCGCGCCAGAGTTGTTCGCATGCACCCCCGGATGCGCGTTGATTCCTCAACGCCCGGATATGTGTCTCCGGGGGCGCGCCACCTATGCAGATGGTCTACATCTACAGCGACCAACGCGGGGGCGGCCACTCCGCCGATTCGAGCGCACGCGCGATCGGTGCTAACGTGCGCCTCGAGAAGACAGAGGTCTGCAATGCTCGATCGGCCGTTGCTTCTACACTTGTGCAGCCGCCGTCAGCTGCGATTAACCGCCCCCCCGGACCCTTGCCACCTTGTCTAGGTAAGGGTACGGGTATTCTTCGCGCTCGAGAATCGTCGGGGGACCTCGCAGGACCCCCAAAACTGGTGTCTGCTGTTGGGCCCGACGCGGGCTCGATTCGGACTTGACGCGGATTTGGCGCGGACTCGGCGCGGATCCGGCGCGGTTTCGACGCGGGCCCGACAAGTCCGACATGGGCCGCGACAAGTTAGGCGGCGAGGAAGAAGAGGAGGAGGAGGGGGGGGAGAAAGAAAGGAGGAGGAGGAGGAGAAGGGAGAAGGAAAAGAAGGGGGGGGAGGAGGAGGGGGAAGGAGGAGGAGGAGGAGGCTAAATCTCTTTCACGCTGCAGCTGGAATGCCCGCTCTCTCTGCCACCGCGACCCTCACCTCCGCACGATTAAGTTCAACTACCTCTCTTCCTTACTCAAACTCCAGCATCGCTGGCGTCCAGGAGTCCCGCGGCAGGTGAAGCTGAACTAGCCAACTATCTCTACCACGCCCATGAGAAGGGTGACGTGTTCTCCTCCTTCTGTGTCAACGATGATGGGTCCTGACGTAATGCTGGTGGTGTGATTACGTTATTCCCTCCGTGTCCACCGACCTTACCTGGCCAGGGAGCTAACTATTATGAAGGTAATCGTCTTAGAGAGCTTCACGAAGCGGGCGCTCCTTCGGACGAGGGTTTCAAGGCTGCTTACTCGCAGCAAGTTGCGCTTGTGACGGGGCGGGTGCTTCGGGTCAAGCTAATCCTGGGGAGTTGTGGTGCGTGGGTTACTCACTACAACATGCACAATGTTGGGTTGTCTGCGAATGAAAAACGACGGGTGGTTTTGGATATCCGACGGGACCTGGCGGCCGCAAAGGAAGCACAACATACCCGACTGCTCTTTGTAGCAGGTGACTTTAACATCTCTTCGACACCACCCAGGGCGCTGGTGCCAGAGACTGCGCAGAATCCCGGGCACGGCTACAGCGACTGGCGGGCCACTCAGGACAGGCAGTGGGCCTCCCTCTTCTCCTCCCTCACCGAGATCGATATCGACGACCCCGCCCACATCTCTATTGCGACGGAAACGACCTCCACGATCGACCGACTTGTTGCGTCTCTGCCAGGCTCGGTTGTCATACAGTGCCATGCGACGGGATACACCAAA